ATATTACGTATCTCCTTTACATCATCACACAAAAAAAAGCGGATTTTATTATTTCTCGTTTTAATTAGATAAGAAATTAACAATTCATTACTTATCTGAATAAGGAGGTATTATTTTATAGTTTTTTTTTGATTAAAGGATATCTCGTTTCCTAATCCTAAAAATCATTACAAACTGCAATAATTAACTACAACACGAATGACCCACGAAACCTTTGAAAATAGAGTTGAACGGGATGTGAGTCATCGTGAAAGTCAGCATGATTACGAAATAACGCGTGATTGAGGTTGTACAGTGCGTTCATGTTACCCATTTTATTTTATCTATACACCTGTCTATTAAATTCTTTATAACTTTCATATTAAAATTTCTTATTTAATCAATTTTCTAATTATTTTTTTTTAAAACGATTTCATTCTTCACATAATGTGGTCTTAATTTGGTGTTAAGAGCACTTTCAAAATTTCTTCAATAAATTTCATTCCATCAACTATTTAATGAATTTCGACATCCTATTACTATTTATAGTCTTACAGCTTTATTAAATTTCACTAGAAAATTTGAAATAAATTTTATTTTTTTATTCGATTTATGGCTAATGAGAAATAGTGACAAAATGATTACTTATGATTAGTTCCGTTCGTCTCTTAAGATGGCTAAACTCATATGTTTCTAGTTCTGGGTCTAGTGTTAGTTCTAGTTTTAGTTCAATAAAAACATACACCAACCTAACGTTATCTAGTGCTATTTAGTGTTATCTAGCACTATTACAAGAACTAACACGACCTAGAACTAGAAACATTTTAGTTCAGCTCTTGAAATAAAGTAAACTTTTCTTTAATACAAACATATTACTTATAAGCCGAGGCAGCCACGCTGCCGAGGCAGAAGTTCTACGTTTTCAATACTAACATATTCAGAAACCGAGGCAGCTGTGCTGCCGAGGCAGTAGTTCTAGTTCTTAAAATAAAGTAAACTTATCTTTAATATAAATATATTACTTAGAAGCCGAGGCAGCTATGATGCCAAGGCAATATTTTACGGTTTTCAATACCTATATCAATATTAGCTTTCGAAAAAAGTATAAATTCGTTAGAATTAATAATACTGTGGGGGCGGTCCATTGGTTTAATGATTAGATAAGAATGTTAAGGGGCAGACTCCGTTTACTGTCTGACATTCATCATATCGATCCTGGCTTAGTTACCAAAGAATATTTAAATAATAGCTGGTGTCTGGAATGTTATCAGTTATCAGGTTCAATAATCCGTCCAGGGTGGTTTGCCAGGGGCTTATACTCAATTTACATAGTAACACTGCTACTTAGATATTCATGGACTGAGCAGAACGTCTTATTTTTCTGGAATGTTCTAATTTTCGAGGGCAATTTATTATACAGGGTGATTCGGGAGGAAATGGAAAGATTTTAAGGACATGTCTAGGAAGCTAAAATAAGCAAAATAAGCCCATATGTTCAAATCCGATTTTCATTTGTTTCCGAGATAATTAGGTTTTTCTTTTTAAAAAGTTAATCAAGTTATGTTTGACAACGTTATCCTATATGACAATTTGAAACAAAATGTTAATTAAAGTGATAGTTGTAATTGTTACGAAATAATAAAAATGCCTCACATTTTCAGTCATAGAGAATATGCAGATATGGTGTTTGTTTATGGTTTTNCTTAAAATCTTTCCATTTCCTCCCGAATCACCCTGTATAAGACCTGAGCAGTATATCTATAGCTTTTTTGCGTTCCACTCAGTCGACAAAGGTCAACATAAATATTTCCACAGTTTCGCGTCTCATAATTGTGCAGGTCAGCATGCGTGCAGTATTTGTTTCTGTTATTGTAAATGTATAAAAGACATTCTAAAATAAGAACAGATGGTACTGTCAAAACGTTCAGCTGTCTGAAGACGTGACGGCAATCATCTCTATATCTCAGCTTTGAAATGATCCTCAAAGCACTGTGCTGTAGACCAAATATGTGGGAGCTAGCTGTGCTTTTCCCCCCAAGCAATTATACAATAACTTATACGGGGGAGCGAATGGCCCCGTGGTAAGCTCTCGGTGCTACCACGCCGGCGTCCTGGGTTCGATACCCAATGAATACACGCCGAGTCGCCTCCCCGTCCTTCGGAGGGGACGTTAAGCCGTCGGTCCCGGCAACCAGTCTAACATCTCTGGTTGTCGTCAGATACATATGTAGTTGGAGGTTGTGAACGTAAAAACGGGTTGAAAGCGCGTCTGCGCTCTGTGAGCGGTACTCAGCCATGCACCCAAGTTTCTGGGCGTTGGAGTACCAGCCCGGCTGAAGGCGAGGCGAGAAGCGGTATCAGCCTGATCGGATGCCATCTTCGAACATCTTTCACTCCTCCAAATAGACCTACACATGGCCGAAGTAAATCGTGAGGATGTACAAAGGAGGGACCGTTGGGGCCTAAGTGCTTTGGTTATACCACCTGTGGTTTAACCAACCTCACATGAAACTACATACATACATACACAATAACTTATAATTGAGTGAATCAATACGAAATAGGCGGTTCTTGCTACCTCAGCAAACACCGAAGCAACCAATCGGCGCAAAAGAAAAAGTTTCGGGCTTTCTTTTTCCTTATCTCCGTCGTGTGAGCCACAACGTTCAAATCCGGAGAACTCATTGTTAACTCCATAAATTTAGTGGAAAGTTCCTTTAGATGATGGTGTCTAAGACTGAACAGTGATTGGACTGTCTTTTCATTATTTAAGCAAAGTTCATTGGCAACACACCACTCATTTGCTGCCATCACCAACCCGCTCGACGAGGACAACACTTCCTCATACTCATCACCACTCACCAGCAGCGTTGCGTCATCCACATATAACAAACATTTCACATCTCCGCCCAAATACCTTGGAGCTCCTTGTAATAGGAAGACGCTCAGAGAGGCAATCTCCGCATTTAACTTGTTGGGATCTACCCGAAAGGTGCAAATCGGAAGACATGTTCAAGTTTGTACAATAGTAAATCATGAGATACACAAATTTCCGCTTTTCGTAAGCATCATAACAAAATTTTCATGAAATTCACAACAGCATCCTTAGTACTCCGACCAGAGCGGAAACTAAATTGGTTTTCATGAAGCTTATTGATTGACTCAAAATGTGTCATTATTTGCCTGTTCAATAAAAATATACAACAATTTAGCGCATAGTAACAATTAAAAGTAGAACTACCGTCCTTGATTTATACATCGTATAGACAACTCGTATAGACAACCCGACTTTATCTATGAGCATTGAATAGAGCAACTTGAGGACATAATAATATAACCCAAGTTGGACAATATTGGTATGACTTAAAAATATTTTGTCCGTTATATCGAGGTTTTATTATACAGGGTGATTCAAAAAACCATTTATCTATCAATTGGTCTCTTACAAAACTTTGACTAAAGCAACAGTTTTTGATTGGATTTACAAATTTTCTACAAACGTGTTTTTCTTAAAAACTATTGCTTGGATCAGTGTTTTGTAAGAGACCAATTGATAGATAATTGATCTCTTTACACGACAATACTTCCCGTTTGACAAAATTAGCAATGGCGTAGACAATATTTTTAAAAAAGAGCTTTTTATTGCGGATAATGTTTTATTTTAAAGAAACTTTGACCCGCTATATCTCGTTAAGGAAGCATTTGCGACTCCATGTATATTAAGACTACTCATCTTAATTTTTCATGTATTATCTACCCTAGAAGTCTGTCAGAGGTTTTTTTGAATCTCCCTGTATATAATTATCACGTAAAAATCTGTTTGCAGAATCCTGATAAGATTCAAAGAAGTATTCAAACTTATTTTCTCTCCTCAACATTAAGTGGAATAATCTCTAGTATTAGTTCTAGTTTTTGTTCAATAAGAATATACATCCTAGCGTTATCTAGCACTACTTAATGTTATCTAGCACTATTACTAGGACCGTATCTAGGACTAATGTTGGTTCTAGTTTTCACGCTAAGATGTTGTATATTTTTATTGAAGTAAAACTATAAGTAACATTAGACCTACAACTAGAAACATTTGGGTTCAGCCGTCTTAACAGACGTATAGCTTAATCCAAATGTTTCTAGGTCTAGTGTTAGTTCTACCCTCCGTTCAATAAAAATATACAACAATTTAGCGTTGAATAAGAGAACTAGAACTAACACTAGACCTAGAATTAGAAACATTCGCAAACTTTTTAGTTCTAGGTCTAGTGTTAGTTCTAGTTTTAGTTCAATAAAGGTATACAACATCCTAGCGTTATCTAGCGCTATTTAATGTTATCTAACACTGTTACAAGAACTAACCCTAGAACTAGAAACATTCGGGTTTTAGCCTTTCGTTTCTTAAGACGGCTAAACCAGAATGTTTCTATTTTTAGGTCTAGTGTTAGTTCTACCCTTAGTTCAATAAAAATATACAAGAATCTAGCGTATAGTAACAATTAGAACTATCGTCCTTGATTTATACATCGTATAGACAACTTGGGGAATACCCCGACTTTATCTATGAGCATTGAATAGAGCAACTTGAGGACAGAATAATATAACCCAAGTTGGACAATATTAGTATGACTTAAAAATATTTTGTCCGTTCTGACGAGATCCGTTACATTGAAATTTTTTTATATATAATTATGACGTAAAAATCTCTTTGGAAAATCCTGATAATGGAAGTATTCAAACTTATTTTCTCTCCTCAAAATTAACTACTTAGAATAACATTTTTGTGAAAAATTCAAATGCATTTTATTTTATGCTGAACTTTCAAGAATTTTCTTGCTAAAAACAAAACTGGTTCATTCTGATTCAAATTAAATTAATTATTTGAGAATATTTTAAAGTTTAAAAAAATTTTCTGTTAAAAAAAAAGCCGGTTATAGTGAAAATGAAACTAAGAAATTAAGTTGTTAAATTTAAAAGAAATTCGGGTGAGTAGATTAAATATTTCAGTACCCTCAGTATTTCTATTACAGATGTCCCAGAAATTGAACGCCAACAGCATGATGTGGGACGAAGAGGAGGACGACTTAACGGAAGATTCGAAAACCGCTAATTCAAGTAGAAGCGACGATAAGGGCCGCTTACTAAGTAAAGAAAACCATTGCGAAATCGAAAGGAGACGTCGCAACAAGATGACAGCGTATTTATCCGAATTATCCGACATGGTACCCACTTGCAATACCCTGGCAAGAAAACCGGATAAATTAACCATTTTAAGAATGGCCGTTGCGCATATTAAAAATCTCCGATCCGGTGGGGGAACTCGAAATCCGGAACCAGCATTTAAACCTTCGTTTCTCTCCGATGACGAATTGAAGCATTTAATTCTTGAGGCTGCGGATGGATTTCTTTTTGTTGTTAATTGTGACAGTGGAGTGATTAGTTACGTGTCCGATTCGGTTGGAATCGTGTTGAATTGTTTACTAAGTGATTGGGAAGGGGCCAGCATTTACGATAGAATTCATCCCGATGATATTGAAAAGGTTAGAGAGCAATTAATGATCGAATCGAGAAATTTAAGAGTTTTGGATATGAAATCGGGTACGGTCAAAAAAGATTTAGGCGGCGAAAATCGCGTTGGAATCGGTTTAAAACGAGGTTTCATCTGCCGCATGAGATTCGGTAGAAATCAAGATCAATCCAAATCGAGATCGATACAAAGAAGCAGCTTGAATTTAAACGATCAAAATTACGCGGTAATTCATTGTACCGGTTACATTAAGAGTTGGGCGAACGAAAATTTTCATTTAACCACATCTTCGGGTCCTTCTTTGATAGCTATAGGAAGGTTACAAATTACAACGACTTCTTTTAATCACGTCGCAAATTTATCGGAATTTATTACGCGGATTAATATTGAGGGAAATTTCACTTTTATCGATCAAAGGGTTACGGAAATTTTGGGCTACATTCCAATCGATTTGTTGGGTAATAATTGTTTCAAATTTATTCACGCAGAAGACGAAGGCCATTTAAAAGAAAGTTTAAAACAAATTTTAACGTTGAAAGGTCAGATTTTATCCGTAATGGCAAGATTCCGTTCAAAAACGAACGATTGGGTTATGTTAAGAATATCGGCTTACGCCTTTTTGAATCCTTATTCGGATCAAGTTGAGTATATCGTTTGCACGAATACGATTATTAAAAGCAACCCGATAACTAATTATCAAGAAGCACCACCGCAACAACCACAAACGTATCCGGAACAATTCATACCATCGCAATCATTTACCAGTAACACACCGCAAACTTATAATGTTGAGGAATCACCATCAAATTTATACAATAATGTAGCAGCACCAAATCCCACGGGGGAAAATGTTTCTTGGAATGCGCAACATGAAAATGTTATTGCCGAAACATATCAACACTACGAAAATGGACAAACTCACGCGGATAATAATTGGATGTGGAATTCTGAGATGAAAAATTCTCAAAGATTGGGAGCGCAACCCCATGAGGAGATTGTACCGGAAATGATGAACTTGTTGTGCCCTGAAGGGCAAGTACATCAATATGAAAGCTATTAAAAATAAATCTCGATAATTTAAAAATAGAAATAATCTAAACTTTGATTGTAATTGAAAAAGGTAGATTGTAATCTGTGTAGTAGATGATTGAAAATAAATTATTATTTTTTATTTAAATGTTGTTTTTCAATTTTTAGCTATTTCAGTAATTTTCTAATTCGAAAAACATGTTTATTTGCCAACACTATAATTCATTTTACCGTTATTATTAAAAACGTCAATTTGATGAAAATTCGCTTTGTTGTTGCATTCTTTGAATTATTGTTATATTAAAATAAATATTTTATGTTCAACAATTCGGTGTATGCTCAGAATGTTTTATAAGTAATTTTAATAGCAATTGGTAGCTATAAATTGAATTTTTAATATGATACGCAATTTGTTCTTGTGATTCGCGTGTTTTTGGTTTTAATATTGATGTTAATTTGGTACAACCTTAATCAGACTCTATAACCTTTAAAAAGAAATCATTTGTGTTGATTAAAATACAACCAGATCCATTTGATTCATCCCAACTCAAAGATGACTCTGAAGGAAGCTGCAATAAGATTACGCAAGAGATAAAAGCTGAGTTTATAAGACTTAATTCACTATCTCACAAACAGTCAACTTGAGAAACTACACTCATATTTCATGAAATATAGATACAATGAATTTCACTTAAAATACAATATACAAAAATATATTTCTATGGAAACCGGGGTGTACCTACATGCTTTCTTCCACATAAAATGCAACATGTCTGAATGTTTCTAGTTCTAGATCTAATGTTAGTTCTGGTGACAGTGGTAGGTAGCGCTAGTTTACACACTATGTTGCATATTTTTATTGATCTAAAACTAGCACTAACACTAGAATTAGATAGTTTTTGCCAGAAAGTTTAACCCGATACTTTCTAGTTCTAGGTCTAGTGTTAGTTCTAGTTTAACACTAGCGCTATCACTAGAACTAATACAAGACCTAGAACTAGAATCATTCGTGCGGCTCACCTTTTTGCAAGCAAAACTTTTCCTTTGCAAAACTACCCAATGCCTGTACTATGAAGCTATGTTGCATTTTATATGGGAGTAGTTTTGTATCTATGGTTACTGCATTCATATATTGCGAGTTATATGAAATTGCCGGTATAAAACCGCTTATTTATTATCGATGAGAACTTCTCTCTACCAATTTTGAGGTGATCGCTTCATTTCCAGGAATTAATTAGTTATTCCTGAAGTTTTAAATGTTTTACATCAATTATGTCATTATATAAAAATAGTGCGCTAATTAAATATTGGAACTAAAACCTTTATTTACATCATTATGAATAGCCATTGTTAATTTTATTTTAGTTCTATTATTTACCAAAATGTTATCTGGAATTTTTCTTGTTCTTAAAAATTATATGTGTAATTAAGTACTGAAATTATTGTTGCTTTAAGCACATTACTTAACCAAATAAACATACAACTGCGTATATTTCAGCGCATATTTATTCATATCTTGAGCACAATTTAGAAGTTTTGCATCACGAAACTGTCGCTTTTTGTTAAAGTATTCGGCAACTTAGCCTCTCATGAAATAACGGTGTTTTGTGGTAACCACGATTGCAGATCTGGTTACGTACGGCACTTTAATCCCTGAACTAAGAACAAGCTTTTAAAGTAAGATTATTAAAAAATATTGAAACGTAAATTTTAGGCATAATATTACACATTTTTGAAAACCGAAACGACTCGATATTAATTTGAAAAGGATTCGTATCTTAGATTTCGAGATATTGTGGTCATTATTTTGAAAAACATAGTTTTGAAAAATATGCGTTTAAAAGTTCAAATACAATGTGTCTCGCCCATAAACACCATGTTTTTCTATGGATTGCGAAAACATTCGCACAATGTCATCGACTTGCATTTGCCATAGCTTCCTTTATGATTTAAGAAGATACATTCAGATGCGTGAGGTGCATACCATATATTATAAAAAATTATTATTTAGCAATTAACGATAAAACACCACACAAAGATGAGAAGTTTTTTCCACGCACCATCATCAGATACTAAAAATACATCTTCTGGATTCTGATCAGAAAAGATTTATTCCTTTATGACGTATTCCCAAAATAGGACTTTTTAATCGATGAGTAGAAAATATTAGACGACTTTGTCGGGATTCGAGTAACGTTTTCTGAATCTGATAACTTCAGTGTGGTAAATTTTATAGAACACATTCTCCTCTTTAACGTTATTCCTCTATTCGATGTCACCTCATAGCGAAAATTTTGTATTAAGAATGTTCGGTAGGAGACACTTAATCACGTTTTGCAGAAACGACCGATCTGCATAATGTGACATGATAGAATAGCCCATCAAGGAAATTATTATAGGTTAATTAATTTCCCCCCTAATTATGATTTGAGGGCGGAAATTAGTAACGTATCCTAGAGCGAGAGTTTCACGGAATTACATTTACCAAATACTCCGGAGAATGACTAACTCTTATTCATTAATTATAGAGGGTGTTCATGAATGACGTGCAAATATTTCAGGAGGCGGTAGTACTTGACAAAGGAGAAAAATTGCTAGATATACAGGGTGATTTATTAGGTCATCATCAAACTTTGACATATGATATTATCAATAACAGCATTAATTACAGCTTCTTCGTCCCGTACATTAACTAAATGCGGTCANAATATTTCAGGAGGCGGTAGTACTTGACAAAGGAGAAAAATTGCTAGATATACAGGGTGATTTATTAGGTCATCATCAAACTTTGACATATGATATTATCAATAACAGCATTAATTACAGCTTCTTCGTCCCGTACATTAACTAAATGCGGTCAAATAGCTTTTGCTGGAGCAGGATTATCTGTTTCTCGAAGTCTTCTAAAAGAATCGCTAAAAACTGAATAATATTGCAAATGACTGTGGAAATCTTCCTTGATATTCTCGTACTGATTGTCGAGCATTTTAAACGTGAAACCATACACCAAAGCGTACATTTTGAGTTTCTTCTTGTATCGTAATAATTAAACCTTACTATTAATAAATTCGCTGCAGAAAACTTTAAAGTGTTATAATTTCGGAAATAATTGAAATAGGACATAATGTTCATTAACATTTTTTTTTTGCAATTGGATTACCTATCATATGTCAAAGTTGGATGGTGGCTAATAAATTACCCTGTATATGGTTACCAAGAATTTTATATAAAAGCTTTGTATGGTTACTGCATAGGTTAATCTATAACATCCTATACATACGTTGTGTCGGTTGTGTGTCGTGAAAAAATGTTTTAAACAATTGTAATTATTATCAAAATGATAATTCAAATTTCAAAGAAAGACATTACGTTACCATGCGTTACCAACCCATGGCACAAATTACTAGATATGGTTAAAAAATACTACCAACCGACTCTTATTTTACCGATAGCAATCCTACCGACAAAAACAGTTTGTACAAAAGCGAATATCTTTATCATCCTGATATATGTTTATCGACCGGATAGTTATCAGGTAAATTTATCGGTATATAATACCGATAGCACAATACTTCGACTATTGATTCTTAGATGGCAGAGCGAGTTTTTCAAATTATAATTTGACAGTCGTGTTTATTTAATGTTTATAATGCTAAATTTATATAGCATTTTAAATGCCATGTCTTATCTAGGTAGTAAATTGATCGTCCACAGTTCTAAGTCCACACTTCGTTTTTCACATTTCTTCCAAAAAATTATATCCTCAGGTTCTGTTCAAAAACTCCTCCAATTTCTCTTCATACAACCTACAAAAAACCACACATTATATTAGCATAACGTTATCAATAGAAATGATATCGGTATTAAACTCATAATGAACAATCAAAATTTGATATTGACAGATACTTACATTTACTGTCAAATTTTAAGTTGGTGACAGTTGGCAATTATAACAGGGAATTTAGTTACACCAAGTTTTAAAATCAAATATGTCACTTTGACATTTGAAGTTTCTTGCTTTTCGAGACAAAAATCGAGTCAATAACGATTGGCTTACTTTGTTAAATTGTACAGCAGAGATATGGAGCAATTGTATAAATCACGTTGCTTGAAAGCCTGGCACATTCATATGGGTAATACTTCCTCCATGTATCATAAAGCTCGAAGATTCTGATTCGGAACTTCATACAGCTTTTTCCAATATCTATTTTCGATGATGGGACTAAAATGGTAAGAGATATATCGTTTTAGCTTTTACATTACGATTCTAACCTAAAAAAAATTCAACGAATAAAGAGTGTTAATAAAAAAGGTCATAAATTTATTTCAAAACTGGAGTAAAGTGTATAGCAGCATCAAATCGATTCCTTTCTCACCACCTCTCTCTCTCGCTCTCTATGCTGAAAATCTAGGTCAAGACTAACGGAACGCTGATGCACTGACCTAGTGATCCTGACCCTTTTCGTACTACAGATAGAATTTAGGATTTCCATCTCATTATTAAATTTTTGATTTATAATTAAAAAAAAAATCACAAAATTTTATTAATTAAATTTTTAAAACTGAATTATTTATTAACGAATTTTCCTCTTTGTTTTCAGGTGAGTGCGTTTCAAGACAACTCGATGGAACTCGACGATATACACCAACAATACGGTAATTAATTTTTAACAAAAAAAAAATCGTCTTTATTTTTATTTAACAAAAAAAGTAAAGTTAGGAAGTAAGTGCATGGTAGAATATTAATTGTAAATCGTAAAACAACTATTAGGTGTAACAGTTCTGTGACGCATTGCAGATTTATGGCGTCGCAACGGTAGTTTCCGCAGCGTTAAAGATTTTTACGCCAGAAAAAGTTAATTCTTTTTATCGAAATTTTTTTTTAAATAATTTCTTGGAAAGAATGTTCGTTATAACTAAAAAAAGATTTAAACAATGAAAAGATTTCTTAGCGGCGAGAGAAAGTCGCTTTGAACGTCACGCTCAACATCGTTTATAAAGACGTTCCTGACATAGATTCCATGAACTATATCGTAAATGAATGGATAAGAACATCCGAGTATTATAACCAGCAAACAATAATATAATAAATCTAAGAATTACGTTAATTCTAATAGAAAATGTTATTAAAAAAAAATAAAATACCTG